GCCTAGAGCAAGTAAATACACTCTGTGATGTTCACAAAACAACGAAATTGCCTAACAATGTGTTTTTTAGAACATATCCCCCCATTGTTAAGCAGCTCATGACTGNTGTTCACAAAACAACGAAATTGCCTAACAATGTGTTTTTTAGAACATATCCCCCCATTGTTAAGCATCGCATGACNAACAACGAAATTGCCTAACAATGTGTTTTTTAGAACATATCCCCCCATTGTTAAGCAGCTCATGACTGTTAATCCAGCCTGCATTGTTTATTGGTGCCTCTTCTGTGTCAGTGCTGTCCTGAGGACTTAACACAGGCACAATATCTCACTCAATCCTCGTAGCAATCCAGAGAGGCAGGGTTACTTCCACATTTCACAGGAGCAGACTTTGCCTCAGAGAAAACAGGCACTTGCTCAGAGAGCCAGGGTTCTCCTGAGGCCTCGACACTCCCTGATAGAATTGGCCTAATTAAAGCCAGGGCATGAGGACTGTGCTAAGTGTCTGGCTCACTAACTCATTGCTGGCTCTGAATTTGCCAACCTCAAGCCTCATTTCATCTCCTTGCACTCTTGGTTCACGCTGCTCCATTGGGGAAATCCCTGAAGAAGCATGACTGAAGGTCGTCCTCATGGTGGGGTAGGTNCTCCATTGGGGAAATCCCTGAAGAAGCATGACTGAAGGTCGTCCTCATGGTGGGATAGGTTTGGGTTTTCTAGAGTCAGGAGCCAAGGCCTCTTGTGGGGAGGCAGAGGGCTGGGTCAGAGCCAGGGCCTGCTGGGCAAGAGCAGGGAGCAGATGGAGAGGGAGTCAGGAGTCCGAGTGCAACACAGAGGAGCAAGTGTGGGCGCTGAGCATGGACAGTGACCCCGGCCATATCAGTTCAGTTAAAGAGGCCACAAAGTCATTGACCCCTCTACTCTCTCAGACTCATTTCATTCATTTCCCAAGTCATCTGGCTCTTATTTAATTGCTCCCACATTCCTGACAGCAAAGTCAGCAGATCCAGCCAATGACTGGAACACATGTTCGAAAGCTGTGTGCGGAATGAGCTGGGCTGTTGGGGGGAACACCACATGGTTGGATGGGGGCCCTCCAGCCAGCCTCACTTTCTAAGCAGGGACCCCTAGACAGATGGAGCCAGGCCCTTCCCCCATCATCACTCATGTACCCAGCTCACTGCAGGCCACAGATCCCATCTCCAGAGGCGACAGCAGCCACAGCACAAACCCTAGACAGGGAAGTCAGGTGTGGAGGGCTTAGAAGAGGCAGTGGCCTGCCGGGCGCCCCTCATCTATTCAGCTCACTTACTAAGTGCATGTGCCTGCCAAGCCCTGGGCGAGGCAGCGGGAGGCGGTGGGGGACTGAGCAGATGGGGTCCCAGCTCTCAGGGAGCTGCCTTGCTGATGGGGCTGACAGACAGTAAATGGCACACAGGTAAATATTCCATAATTAAAGATTATGATTAGTGCTGGAAAGGAAATAGCAGGGAGCTGATAGGAATCGATGGGGCAAAGGGTGAGGAGGCATCTTCAGACTTCGTGCTTATGAAAGGCTTTTCCAAGATAGTGGTGATGAACCACGGCCTGCTGACCACAGGAACACGGTAAAAGCGAACGTCCTGAGGCCAAGAGAGCTGGCCCTTGGGGAACCGAGGGAGACAGGCGGAGTGTGGTGGCCGAGTCTTGGGCCTCAACGAGGAGCAGCCCACACGGGAGAGCGGGACTTTGGATGTTATCCCGTATACAGTTAGAAACCCTGGGAAGGGGTGAGCATTTTTTAAAAGGCCCCTGTGGCTCGGGGAGTCGGGGTGCCCAGAAGAAGGTGTCAGTCAGGAGGCTGTGATGGTGGTGCCCCTGCGAAGCGTTGGTGCCCTGGCAACATGGTGACAGTCGGGCCCGGGAGAGGGGGTGGCTTGGTGTGTCTTGGAGCCTATCGGATGGGCTAGATATGGCCTATCCCACCAGCTATGGACCAGTCTGGATTGCTGGCATTCCCACTCTGGCCACCCCTCTGGGGATGGTGAATGGTGCCGTGGGTTTGGGGTCCCATGGCATTGTTTCCAGCCTGCCCTGCCCCTCGCTAGTTTAGTGATCTCAGACATACCGCACACCTCCCGGGGACCTTTTTCCTGCAACGTGTCCATGAGGGAGAGAGGAGGGCTGAGCAGGAATAGAGGAGAGTGTGGGAGCCAAGGATGTTTCTCAGCAAGAGGAACTGGAAGAGGGCACACGAATGGCTGACAGGCCCATGAAAAGATGCTCAGTGTCACTAGGCATCAGGGAGATCAGATCAAAACCACAGTGAGATACCACCTCACACCTGTCAGAATGGCTGCCATCAGTAAATCACAAGCAACAGCCATTGCTGAGGTTGTGGAGAAAAGAGAACCCTTCTTCCCTACTGATGCAGCCACTATGGAAAACAGTATGGACCGTCCTCAAAAAATTAAAAATGGAACTGTCATATGACCCAGCTGGGTACGTATCCAAAGAAATCCAAAACACAAATTTGAAAAGGTATCTGCACCCTTATGTTCGTTGCAGCATTATTTACAATAGCCAGGACATGGAAGTAACCCAAGTGTCCTTCAATGGATAAATGGGTAAAGAAGATGTGGTAGGTATATACAATGGAATATTACTCAGCCAAAGAAAAGAATGAAATCTTGCCATTGTGACCACGCGGATGGACCTTGAAGGTATTATGCTAAGTGAAATAAGTCAGACCGAGAAAGATAAATACCACAGGACTGCACTTACGTGTGGACTCTAAAAAACAAAAGAAGCAAACAAAACAGAAAAAAACTTACAGATACAGAGAACAAATTGATGGTTGCCAGATGGCAGAAGGTTTGGGGGCTGGGTGAAAAAGGTGAAGGGATTCAGAAGTACGAATTAGTAGTTATAGAATAGCCACGGGGTTGTAAAGTACAGCACAGGGAATATTGTTAGCAATATTATAACTATGTTTGGTGCCAGGTGGGTACTAGACTTATTGGGGTGATCATGACCACTTCATAAGTTGTATAAATATCTAATCAATCTGGTGTACACCTAAAACTAATATAATATTGTATATCAGCTGTAATTGGAAAAAAATTTTAATCATAAAATAAGATGAGAAGAATTGGAGTGTATTTCAGAGCTGTCAGGAAGGATCAGCTTGAGAGATGAGCTTAACTGTGACAGGCATAGAGAGATGGTGGGTGCAGCAGGGTCCCTGGAAGGTGCAGGGGAGTCAGCTCTTCTGACTGAACCTGAGGGACTTGGAGAGGAGGCCGGGCACAGGTGCAGTTGCAGGCAGGTGTGTGCATGTGGCATTGAAAAGATGATGGGGATCCATCCAGAGGCTTTTCATTTATTTGTAAAACAGGGAGCAAGGTCTTTAGCTGAAAGTGAAAAGTCAACTGTACAGGTGTCCAACTGAACAATGCCCTGCCCTGCCCCTAGTCTAGACTCAGGGGACATACAGTCCCCACATTACCATTCTTGGGTTTTAGCACCATCATACATCAGTTTCAAGTCAAAAATCTTTGTCTCACCTCTCTCCTTCCTCTATACCCCATGCACCCCTCCACCCCCACCTCCACCATTAAATCAAAAGTCCTGTCTGTCTTCACTGACTAGTATTTTCTGACTCATTTCTCTCCATCTCCACTGGCAGCGCGAGCCCAGGCTGCCGTCGGCTACACAGAGCAGCTGCCCCGTGTCCCCTTGCTCACTCATGCCCCCTCCAATCACTCTTCTATGCCCAGTCCTTCAGTGGCCCACCCCCTCCACCTCCCTGGTCATGGAGTGGAGACAAGGCCCAGTGCTCTGACTGGCCTAGCCTTCCCCCAGGCCCTCTCCTACTGCAGCCCTCCAAAACCCAGTGATCTTGGCGTGTTATGAGCTTTCCCATCTTTGCCACACTCCTCTCTCCCCGTTCCTCTCCCAGAAATCATCCCTCACCCTCTGGACTCAGCCTAGCTTCCCGTCCTGAGTAGGCCCAGCCTTGCTCGGGTCCTGTGCTTTCACTGTGTAATTGTTTTCTTAAATACCTGTTCTTTCAAGGAAAATTCTGAGTCTGAGATTTTCCCTCTTGCAGTCATCACTGGGTCCCATTACTTGCCTCTCTGTGTGGCCTCACGCTCCAGACTGAGGTCCCAGGTCGGCCTGGAGCAGACATGGCTTAGCGGAAAGTATGTAGGGTTTTGAGTTGAGAGACCTCCCTCCTGGATGAGCTCCACACCTAACCAATTATGTGGGCTTGGACAAGTCACTTTTTTCTGCTGTCATCTGTCAAATGGGTGTGTTCATCATTTCTCTCACAATTTGTCAAGAAGGTCAAATGAAGTCTTGGATATGCAGTGCGCTCTGCACACCATAAGGTGAGGACACCTGCCAGTGCCATGAGTGTTCTCCGTGAGGCCACATCTCTGGAGACAAGTGCAGCTTGCTGCACCAGCCTTCCAGCAGCACCTGAGCTTCTAAACTTGTCCCCTTCCAGCACCCTGTGCACCCTGGCTCAGTGCCCCTAACCCCCAGGCTGGGCCTCAGAGACCGCCCACAGGTCTGCTAAGCCTCACGCATCCCAGAGCCCCTGTGCTTGCTCTTCCCTCTGCTCCAGATGTTTCCTCCCTGAGTCTCTCCCCTTCAATAGAAATGAACCAACCCTCCAGTGAGCACCAAAATCTGTCCTTCAGGCAGGAACAAGGTCCAAATCCTATCTGGGTGGCCAAAATCCAACACAGTTGGCCCCAGCAGGGATCAGCAACAGCCTCCTGAAATAAATGTGTTAGCCCATTCATGCGGGATTGTCATCTCCCCCACACGCCCACCCCAGCCCCACCAAGAGCAAAGGCTCTCCCTCTGCCCAGCCCCTTGCTTTGGGGCCCATGATGGCATCTAAGCCTGTGTGAGGGGAACCCACTAGCTGTTGGAGGGAGGGCTCGCCAGGGGGAGGGGGCCCTCTCTCCGTTCCATTCTGACTTTGGCCTCTCTGCTTGTGTTTTGCAGGTCCTCCAGTAAGTGCCCTGGATTATGCTCTCTGCTCCTGAAAGATAAGACATTTTGTTCTCTCTCTGTAGCACTTCCATTAAAAGAATACTTAGTTAGGTGTATCCTAAAAAAAAAAAAAATCCAGACAGGGGCCATATCTTTTTAAATTTGTAGATTAATGCAAGCACAGAACTCAGTGGGATCGACCTGCCCCTTAAAACATTCTGTGAGCATTTTCCTTCCCAGAGAGCTGGCAGGAGCCTGGCTGCTCCTCACCCAATCCCTGGCTCCCAGGGGTGCCCAGAAATGCCAGCACCACTCCCACATTTTCTAACTGCCCTGCAGCAGTTGCTCTGTTTCAGTGTTTTTGTTTCACGTGCTTTGGCAAAAAGGGCTCTGGAGTCAAGCAGCTATGCCAGGAATGAGTTGGGCTTAGTAACTAGATTCCAGGCTCCGTTTCTCTTCTTTGCCAAACGATGTTTGGCTCCCTGTGTTGGGCAGCTGGCCATGAGGGCATTTGGGTTTGAGAAAGGTGTAGCTGAGGGGCTGATGCCCGAGGCAGGGAATCATCCGCCCCGGAAATCCGGTCCTTCTCCAAGAAACGTGACAAGCCTGCCTTAGAGCCATTGCGCCACATTTTCAGAGCCTGATAAATCCTAGCAACTCCATTCAAGAAGCACACTGAGAGTCTGCTTGAGTCAAAATGCACCTTCTAAAGGAATTCCTTTCGGATGAGCTGTTTTATTTTTGACTTCCACTTACCATGATTCATTTCCTGATTGGCACCCTTTGGAATCCGGGCTTCTCAACGCATGTAGCACCCCAGTGAGCCAGAAAACGAGCCAGCAAGAATGTGTAGATTTATGGGCCACAAGCAGTTTCTCGTAGAGTCATGCCTGGCTGTCACATGGAGGTAGTCTGTGTGAACTCACTGAAGTGCATAATGCAGAGGCTGTGGAGCAGGGGGTTTTGAATTTGGCTGTTAAACTGTTAAGTGGATTAAACAGATGCAGAATCCCGAAGCTGCAACCTGAGATGCATGCCAACCTGTGACACACTGGCAGGCAGGCAGTGCTCCGAGCACATGGGGACAGAAGCATCCAGGAGCAGTAAATGCCTCCCCTGCCATAACTCTGGCTCCCAAAGCTGTCTTCCCCCACCCATCCAGTGGCAGCAGGCAGGGGACCCTTGTTTGCTCTCTAGGCCTCTCAGCATTTTAGGAGCATTTTCCTTGGTGGCTGTGACACTGCCCTTGGGAACTCCATGGCCCCATGTGGTCCTCACCACTGCTGGCTGACGTGGGAGGACTCACGAGGATGTATGGTCTGATAGCCCCTGCAGCCTGGCCCAGTGAGGTGGGAAATGGGTGCTCCATCCCCTAGACCTGTCAGAGCCTGAGTCTCCCCAAAGGCATCAGTTACCCACCAGCAGCCTCTGCTGCAAACCCATGGAACATTGGGAGGAGCAGTGTGGGGCCCTGATTGAGTGCTAAGTGTTGCCATATGGTTTTCCGCTGAAAGTCTGATTATTAATGACGTATTAATTACCACAGGGGCAATCAGGACGAGATGGCTACCCGGTAATTTGCCATTTATTTTTTGCTCTCTTTGCCCTTTTCTCTTAAGCCGGTATTCTTTCTCCGAGCCTTTATTTAACTGTCTGCGCTCCTTTCTCCTCCTCTGCTCCTCAGGGACTCGGGTCTTTCCATGGAGGGATTAGCATTGATCTGCGGGGCTGGCCTGATGGGAACTGTCTGCAGCTCCAGCTGCCCTGCAGGCAAAGCAAAGAGGCTTTGAGGAGGAGTCACTTTGGTGTCCTGAGCCCACCCAGCACTGCTCTTCCTGCCAGTCTGTCTCCCTGAGCTCAGGGGTCCAGCCTCAGCTATGGAGCATCCTATTCTCAGTGCACAGAAAACTCCCTGTCCCCGCCCACCCTGTTGTGTCACCACGAGGAGAGATTAATTGGTTCCAGTTTGGCCTTTGTGGCGTCATCACTTGTCAGATCTTTTACAAGTAAGCCTAAAACTTAGCTTATATTGGAATCAACATCCCCAGCCGAGGCTGGGTGAGGGCCACGTAAGAAGCAAGTTGGAAGGTAGCTGGGCGCTGCTGAGTCCTGCATAGAAGTCCTGCCACATCAGAGCAGGGGGCCAGCCTGGTGGAAGGAGAGTGTGGCAGGACCATCATGTTGGGGAACATGTTTGTTCTGGGCCTCAGGCCAGGAAGATGCAGGGAGGGAAATGTGGATTGTTTCAGAGACCTCTCCAATGGCCGGATCTCAGGACAGGCTGGTGATGGAGGCAAGGTGGGGATCCCCAGTCCTTCAGGAGCTGCCTTCCTGAGAGGCTGTGGAGGGCAGAGCCCCACGCACCAGGGAAACCTGGGCTTGGATTCCAATGCTGGGCCTCCTAGCTGGGTGACCTCGGGGAAGGTGGTCACTCTCTCTGAGCTTTAGTGTCCTGCTCTGTGAAATGGGCTGATGAAGGCCTCCCTCACAGCATTGGAGATGGGATTAAATGAGATTGAGGAGGTGACAGTTACACAATATGCAGCACAAGCCAGACCCTCTGGGACTCAGTGGAGACTTTGGGATCATTTATTTCCTGTCCAGAGCGGCCCACTCTACACTCAGAGTAGAATTTGGAGTCTCTGGAACAGCTAGGACAGCTCCCCCAGCGGTGGACAGCCTGGTCTCCCAGACCAAAAGCATCCTGTTCCGAGTGAAGCACCAGCCAGGTCCACCATCATTGCGTGGGAGCACCCTGGGGGCCAGGCCCCACCGCCTCCCCAGCAGCTTTCCCTGACTAGGAGGGAGTGAGAACCCTACATGGCAGCTAGAGTCTTAGAACCAGGGGCTTTTGCTGGAATATTTCAGCCTCGTGTCTTGGGACCATTTGCTTCACCAGCTCAGAAGAATGAAAACTTTCTGACAGGACCCTCCAGATGACCTAGCTAACTTTACACTCCAGGTCACTTTTTTTTTAATATATCTTTATTGATTTCAGATAAAGGAAGGGAGAGGGAGAGAGAAATAGAAACATCAATGATGAAAGTCGTTATTGATCGGCTGCCCCCTGAACGCCCCCAACTGGGGATCGAGCCCGCAACCGGGGCATGTGCCCTGACTGGGAATCAAACCTCGATCTCCTGGATCCTAGGTTGATGCTCAACCGCTGAGCCATGCCGGCCGGGCTCCAGGTCACTTTTGACTGTAGATGCATGTGTCCAAAGGGCCGAGGGTGGTGGCTGTTTGGCTGGCGAGGGGTTTCTCCCCTCTTCCCCCGCTGTCTTCTCTGAGCACATGGTGACCCAGGACTCCTTTCTCCCTGGCATCAGAGAGAACGTTGGCTGGTGAGGGAGCGGGTTCTGTGGGCAACAGGCAAGAGTCCAGGTATGGAGCTAGGCAGCTTAGGGTTGAATCCAAGGATTAAATCACTTGGCTGCCCTAAGTCTCCGTTTCCTTCCCTGTGAAGAGGGGAGCTGGAGTTCAGGTGAAGTGAGGTTATTCCTGGAGCACCAGGCGTTGCAGGACACAGCAGACAGTGGCCAGGTCATGGAGCGTCACAGGGCTGTTGGGGATCTAGCCTGAGGGGGGATTAGTGTGTGAGATGCTTGGTGCCCAGCCTGGGCCAGAGACCGGGCTCTGAATGTGGGGATGGGAGGCCAGGGGACAGATGTGCATGCCAGGTGTCCATCCGGTGTGAAGTTGGGAGCTTTCTGGGAGGAGGCAGGTTAGGGCTCAGCAAGCCTTCCTCCCTGCCTGTTCGCAGGCAGCTCTGGTGAGTGCCCTTGGCTCCTCCAGCTCTTCACCACTGGGAAGCCGTGAGCAGGCCTGGCCAGGCCATGGGTGAGGGGAAGCCAGTGTCACATCTGTGATTGCCCCAGGGCTGGGTCACCCCTTTTCCTGAGGTCGCCCAGTTTGCAGGCCCACCACCGTTTCACACCAATCTGGGCCTTTTCTCTGGCAGGGCTGGCCCTGCTCACTGCTGGATTCAGGGCGTTTGTGCCTCTAGCCCAAAAGCCAGCCTTCGTGCCCAGCTATGTGCCTCCAAGCACCCTGGTTCCAGCACTGCCACTAGGGTCAGCCCTTCTATGAGGGCCACAGGGTGGGGGCAACACCCCTCCTGGCTCCCCCCAAAGAGGGAAAGGTAGCCTGTGTGGGCAGGGGGAGGGTAGGAGGCTCACAGGGTTCATGTGTTTTGAGCTGAAATCCAGATCTCTTGGCCAGTGAAGGGCTTGGCTCCCAGCCTGGGGTCTGTTTACAGGCCTCTCCATGTGGTCATCCCAGAGGTTGGGCCCAGTCCCCCATACAAGAGGCCTGAGCCGCCTCAGAGGCACCTCCTGTACTGAGTATCACACGGGCTTCCCATCAGTCAGGCCCAAGTCGAGTCCCGGCTCAGCTGTGCGCACTCGGGCAAGCTGCTCGGCCTCTCAGAACATGGGAAGGTCACACCCACAGAGCTGGAGGGTCAATGGTAACACAGGCAGAGCCCCTCAGTGTCACTATCTCTCCTCACTGCAGATGCAAAGCCTCAAGGGGAGGAAAGCTTGGGAAATCATTTTGATCCACCAATGTATGCTGGCAGTGTTTGGAGAAGAAAACAGCTTTGAGAACAGTCAGTTGCAGAAAAAAAGGTTTACTTAGTAAACTTCAAAACCAGCCTCAGGGAGGATTTTTTTTTTTTTTTTTAGTTTGTGCCTAAAACATATCACTTCCTAAGGGGAAGTAGGAGCAAGAAAAAAGTCCAGGAGGGCCATGGTGGAGACTGTACCGCCTGCATTTCTGGATTAATCCAAGCTGGCCCCTGCCCTGAGCAAGACCAGCTGAAACCAGGTCCATATGTGGACCCAATAGTGGGGGTTAGGGGGACATAGGAGCCACCCATGTCTGTGAGGTGGGGTGGGGTGGGGGCTAACAAGGGCCGGGGTCCCATGTCCACAGCCATCTTGCACAGAGGCTGGCCCATCCTTTCTGCCTCCAGGGTTTAATCTCGCTCTGCCATTGACAATAGAAGCATGTTGATTATATAACCTGACCAAAATAGAGAAAAGCACAAAAAAGGAAACAGCAGCCATCCATGAGCCTACCACCCACAGACAAGTCCTGTCAATATATGTTTGTTCTTCCAACATTTTTTATGCACTAATTTGTTTCTATATTTCTTAGTCTAAAACTGAGATTATAGTGGATGTATTTTTTATAGCTGATTTTTTTCACTTAATCTATCATAGGATTTTTCCACATCATTAAGAATTCTTATAGGATGTAATAGCTACATGGTATTTTATCGTATATAATTTATTTAACCAGGTTCCAATTTATAGTATTTATATTAACAATTTTTCACCCTGCAGTCAACATCCTTGAAATAAATCTAGGCTTACTTCCATGATTATCTCCTTAGGATAAACGTCTAGAAGTTGAATTGCTGGACCAAAGGGTTTGCACATGTTTAAGGCTTTTGATGTGTATTGCCAAATTGCCCTCCAGGAGGCTCTACTAATTTACATTCCCACCAACAGCGTCTGAATGCTACATGTTTCCCCAGACCCTGGCCAACTGTGGGTATTATCATACTTTTAAATCGATGCCAATATGATAAGTTAAAAAATAGATGTGTGTATCTATGTATCTTGTTTTAATTTAGGGTATATTTTTATTAGAAGTATAGGTGTCCTTTGTTTTGTTTTTTTGTTGTTGTTTTTCAATCCTCACCTGAGGATATTTTTTCCATTGCTTTTCAGAGAGAGTGGAAGGGAGAGGGAGAGGGAAACATCAATGTGAGAGAGACATCAGTTGGTTGCCTCCTGCATGCTCCTCGGCCGGGCCAGGGATTGAGCCTGCAACCGAGGTATGTGCCCTTGGGCAGAATCGAACCCAGGACTCTTCAGTCCGAGGGCCAACATTCCAACCACTGAGCCAAACCACCTGGGGCTGGAAGTGTAGTCTAGAGATTAAACTAGTTTTGAAGGGCCTCTAACTGCCACCTGGTGGTAGAATTCAGAATTGCAGGTGTAGCATTAAAAGGAAATTGCCAGGTTTGAGAGCTTTCAGTTGCCATTTGGTCAGGGACAGCAGACAACGTGGTATCAGCAACATAGGGGAACATTGTGAGTCCAAAATGGGACCTGCAGAGGATCACTGGGCACAGCATTCTTGCATTTTGGAGTACTAATCAGTATGATAATACCCATCTCATAACTAGGAGGCTTGCCTCTGTGCAACGCACCTGTAAGGCACGTCACGCCCTGTGCAGTGCGCAAAGATGAACCAGACCCAGTCGCAGTCTTTGGGGAGCTCTGGGAGACGGGGACCAACACAGCCAGTTTGCCATGGGACAGGGAGGGAGGAACTAAGATTAGGTGGCACTATGATTTTTCTGGAAGTTTCTTACCACAACCCCCTTTCTTCTCTCCAAACTCTGGCTTCTGCATCAGATGAAAAGATGTCTCTCATGCAGGACTCAATCTTGCCTACCCCTTGGCTTTTGTCTGGAAAACATTAGAATCTCACATCATCTCCTATTTACAAAATCAAAATCCTTACTTTTCCTCTTCTTTGGTATTTGACCTTTCTGGC